AAAGGGCTTAAAATGGATCATATGTTCTAATCATTTGGATTTGATATAAGATATTCTATAGGATTTGACATTTGGAAACCTACATGCTAGTGTGAAAGAGACAATATATAGTAAAGTTTCCATCACCAATTGACGGCATCACAAAATACTTTTGTCTAATCAGTATCAGTCAGTGTTATATCAAACCTAGATCAGTCACCGCTAACAGCGCTGGACACAGCCGGTCGCCTGGTCGCCAAAGGCGACCAAAACCTTGATTGGGCGAATAGAAATTGTCAAAAGATGGATGTTACTGGCCCAAAAATAAATCTTTGGGCGAGTACATTTTTATTCTCAAAATCGTAGGTTACTCCCATAAATTAACCACCCCAACTTCGGAATACCCATTTTCGGAAATCCAGTACTCACAAGAGTCTGGGTCACGCCGTTAAAACGTTCAAGTGCATCAGAATTGACACCGACGGTACCGGTTAACATGGCGGATGCAAACAAGGGCTTGGGATTTTTAAACAGAACCCCGTCAACGTCAACGGATACAAAGAAGCCGTCGAAGTATGAAAAGAAGTTAACTAAGGTATTTTTACAATTCGTAAGTTTTCTTAGCTGTAAGTGTACGTTACTATTTTATGTTGTTTGGTCTGCCGTATCACCAGTACTGGTTGACGCCGAATTGACATTAGATAGGCACGATAGGGTTATGTGTCGGGAGGGTTGAATTGAAGAATAAAAAACATCTATTTATATTGTTTTATTGGCATATTTTATTGCTCAACACTGAAAATAATCTTAGTAAAATATTTGGGCTACCAATATTCATTTTGGGCTTTGGAAAATTCCAGAGTCAATCCCCATACAAACACAATGGTTGAAGAGTCCTTGGTTATATATACCAAACAAAATTTACAAAATAGTCAGGAGCTGGAGTAGCTGGCGGTGGCTCAGTACCTCACTTCCGGTCCAGGCTTGGTGCTGCTATACGACTAGTGTTAGGTTAAGGTAAACATCAGGCCTAAGAGCTGTCTTATAAAACTAAGACTTTGACATTAAACACATATAGGATAGAGGGCTCCTTCTTTTCCCTGATTCCCCCTTCTATTCCTTTACTCCATACTTTATCCCTTTTACTCATTTTCCCGTCTTTTATTCGTCTGCCCAATCAGTCAATCAATCAGAGTCATTGGCGCTTAATACAACTTCGGATGAGGGAGGAAAGAGTTCGGTAATTGCAACGATGCGGCTAAGAGCAATGGGCCCTATGATATAATAAATCTAGACTTTGTAAGTTATTTGAGTTGAAACTAAACTTTTCATGAGGTTTACAAATGATGATATTGTGCCATAATGTTATTCTATGCTCAATATTATTAATCAGAAAAAATCCATATTAATATTGATATATCAGGTATCATGACACGTAACTGCAGATTTAATCATCCGTCAAAACCAAGTTGTTAATACACATTTACCACTCCGTACATGACACTGCTACTCAATTACTGTATTAAGTTCGGATGGTGCTAGAATGATGCTTGACGATACAGCTTTGTCATTTCATTTGGACTGTGAATGCCATCACAGTTCAATTAGTAGTACGAAACTAGTACGAATTTACAATAAGTCATAACTTCACAAAGGGACCAGTCGGTCCTGAAACGTTGCGACACGTTTAATACGTACATTGTTTGTGTAGAAAGTAAAATGTTGATACTGTAGTACGAATTTAATTATATAATGGATTGTCGACTCGCGATATGCAGACAGTTTTTATGTTGTATATAATGTTCATCATAATCACCTCCTATATCTTAATGTCGATGTCATAGATCCTTATATCTGTAAAAGTATGTCTGATTGGTCTGTACGACATCAGATATTTATTGAAATCTAGTAGTACTGCTTTTATAGGATTTTAATGTGATTTATTTTAATGTTTATTTGAATGGCGCATTATCCATGCGTTAATCTTTATCATTTCGTGCAGTGTTTGTAAATATAAAATGTGCATAGCAACATGGCCATTATGTTACAGATAGAAACCGAAATTCCTGGCATGGTGTGGGCATTTCATTTGAAATCTTTGATAAAACGGGTTAAAGATATTTAAAAACCAAGGATCTAGGGATGAAATGAAACGCACACAGTGATATGTTTAATCGGATGTGATAGGATTTGTAAACAAATTTACTGTTACTTTTTATCACTAGACATTACTAAAACGTTGAAGTTGTGTTCCAATATGACTTTCGTAGTCTACGTAATACTACTGTAAAGTTTACTTCACCTTGGGAAATAACCATAACAGATTCGTGTGACCTTTGTTTGGTAAAGAAGCCCGAAAAACGTACAGACACATTTTAGCCGTATCATTAAATTTGTTCGATACGGGTTGTTTAGCAGCTCAAAAACCACCAGACGCCGTTTGAAGTAATTGGAGATTACTAAAACAACTTATTGTGCTTCATTTTAGACTTATTGATCCACAAACTACACTGAAAAAAGTTGCAGATTTTTTTATATTTACTTTATACACTAACAGTGTTTCAAAAGTAGTTTTGAGTACGGGTATTTTATTGGAAATGTGTGGTTTATCATACCTTGAATACACAATATCTTTACAAACAACTCAGCGGATCTATTTCAGGCACATGCCGGTTACATGTGTTTTCCGGTAGACAGCCGGTGTTACGTAAGCGCGTTGTCTAAACAGACTGTATACAACGTACAAAGGTACCTTACGCCGGAAAGGATTACAACAGGAAAGTCGCCCTACTTCCGAGACAGTGTCGGGCAGATAGTGGACTGAGTCCTTGGTAACCGCCAGGGATATTGTCTCTCCGTTTGAAGTTAATATACAAGCGTGTACCTTATTGATTTTTAGGTACAAGTTCGTCGGTCGAAGCAGTAAATGGAATTCATTAATTCATAAATTTATGTAAATTAACATATGGAACAAATTACGTACTTTTTAGAAATATTTTTGGTGCACATTATTTTTATTTGTTTTGTACAATCAATATCTATAAAGATATTTGGAACATGAAAATGCTTTGTAAAACGTTCGCCAATGATATCGGATGTGATCTGCTAAGGTCACGAGAGAAAGGAACTTGCCTCGTAAATAACCCGTAATTAAGGCTATATGTAGGCGGTATGGTAATTCAAACCTATACTCCAATTGTATCACAAGTGGAGAGTGCGGGGTATCATTACGTAGAGTTACTACCATAGCTCGTCTCACAGTTGTCACTAAACAATACCACTTTAAATGTAATAGTTTTGAGAACAGATTTCGACAAAGGACAGGTTTAAGGCCTTCACGGAGTATATAATATTTGGAGCGGAATGTGTCGTATCGGGTGAGAAATATCCGGAGGGTACGATTATACATAAATTATCCCTGACAATTGGTGTTGATTTTCCTTATTAGCGGGACTTTTGATCACGATATGTAAGACAGGAACGAGTTGACAGTCGCCATACACGTCGAGGGACATACGCACAGCGATCGTGGATTCACCCAGTGAGTTTTACGAATTGTGATTTTGTTTTAGATAGGAAAAAACTAATTGGAAATTTGTCTGTGTTTATTCGGCAACACATGTTTAAGTATTGTGTGCTTGGAAACAGAGAAGTATATGTGTGTCAGAGTGGAAATGAAATCTTAGAAATCTTAGATTAACTAACGCATGATGTAACTGGTTTTATTCGAATTCTGATAACGATGGATCAGATATATAGAAACCGGAACAGTTTGTTTTGTCACTGTATTCGATTGTGAAAGTTTCACCAATGCCAGTATATATGGACATATTCGTTAATTTCTGCTAAACTCCACTGATCGACGCCCGTATCTGTTACAGTGCACCCTTACCTCGTACAATAGCCAATAATAGGGTTTGGCTCATTAAGGTGAAGACCTGGAACATCAACGGGTATATATATTGTGACACGTTGTGAAGCGATATCAATCGACGTAGCTAGCGTAACACTCAGCTGTGGCGTATAACAACATTTACACGCCATTTGTTGCCAAGACAACCACACTTTTTTAAAAGTCTCTGGTACCTGCTTTGCTTTAAAAAGCGAAGCGTATTCAATTCATGCGCTACATCTATTTTTATACACACATTGGTAACTATTGAGGTTTAAATACACACTGTACTTGTTTATTTTAAAATTATATAATATTAACATTGATAGAATTTTTTGAAATTAGATATACACAGATACATTTACTGCTTGAATTTGAAATTAAAATAAATGTTCATATATAGAACAGCTGATGATGCGATCAGATGATATGGCATTTAAAAGAATAACAATACCCGCTGATCACTGGACCGGATTACTTGTATCAGAAACCCGTATTGTCGGATCATGAGCGAAACCTGTGATTGTCCGAAGGAAAATGAAAGCTTTATCGATGAGCTTGCGGCGGCGGCTTACTATATGGTCGAGTGTTACAGTGGTACGGGAAACAATGGACTCAATTAGTCTTTCATCTCTGTTGGAACAATGAATCAATTCTTGGAATTCAATGGAGCTTCCTGATTACTAAGCCGTCTCTAAAACGCGCATCAATTGAAGTGATACAGAGGTGCTACGAACGTTTGGTTAACAGTGATGTTGTGTTCATTACTTGCTGATAATGGCGTCTTAAGTCTCCAGTAGCGTCTTGGATTGTTTTTAAAGAACAATAATTCTGAATAAGTTTGCTGTTATTTTGTAACTGGATATACATTTGTATACGTCAGAATGTAGTGCAGAGTATCATAGATAGGCAAGGAGAAACTGTATAAGTCATCAAACAGAGCTACACAACTAGCGCAATGTGATGGTACGTGGCAGGATTCTTTACTCAAAACAGATTATAAACCACCCGTGGTAAAAAAGCAAATGACGTTTTTTCTAGGAATTAAATCGACAAAAATGGAATTAGTCACAGTGATGATATATCAAAGATACAGTCAACATTATTCAAGGATTCTGTCAACTTGAATATGAGCCGTAGACATTCTATCATCGGTCCGACCCCGGACGCTGGTCCCAGAAAAGGGATGGAAAAGCGAAGGATGTCCATCGCTGATATATCCCTGGCCAAGAAGAAGGTTACCAAATCTGCGGACTCTAGACGGTCGTCTGCTGCGCCCCCAGCAAGACGAGCCTCCGTCGCCGCCATTGCTGTTTCAGTCAGTCGGCGAGCGTCATTTGGAGGCGTTAGTATCAGCGATTCACGCCGGGCTTCAGTTCCTAATTTTTCATCTGATTTACAGGGAATTATTGAAGGAGAACATTTCGTAGACGAGTCGGAACTATTTGACATAGCTCGTACCGGTTCCGGTAAAAACTCAAAGAAGTCGCGCAAGCGTTCTGATGCAGCTCTTGGTGATCAGGTAAGCGAATATATGATTTAACAGAACAAAAAGTCAAGAAATTGTTATCAAAAACAAGTTTTGTTTTGGAATTGTCCAATGTTATCAATTCTCCCAAAGTCTACTTCCATAGAAAGTTTTTAATATTAACTGAAATTCCGTTTTCTGTTGACTTCGTTTACTTCAATAATGCTGAAAATATTATTGTGAATTGTCAAAACCGAGTTTAGTCCCGATTGTATCACGAGGTCCTAGGCAGATAGTTATCAGCTTTGTTACAATTTATCAGGACACATTTGGGTGAATTAAGTAACTGTACTACCATCGGATACATGTAGTAGGCTATGAATGCCAGAAAAAGGCAGTGCAGTACTTGAAAAAAGATACTCATATTTGATGCTTATATTATTATGGACATTCGAGGGACATGTCACGGGTAAAGTGCTATCAGTTACCAATCTAATACTCTCTGAGGCTAACTGAACGATTCTTATTCATATCTGTGCTATACCGCATCGTTCAGTCTTTTTATACTATGACGTGAAATTCTGGTGGCAAATACGTCTCGTCATGCAACTATAACTCAGATAAAAGCCATGTTGGCTTAGAGACCATTGGAACTGATAAACACTGCCTTAGCCATTTTCCAACTTATAATCATCACAGAATGGCTTTTATAGGACTTTTCTCACCAGTTATCCTATCGTAACATTTTTACATGGGACACGTTATTGAATATCAATGCAAATGAGCGCATTTTTATGTGTTCGGAATTTGATCATTAAATTTTATCATCAAATCAACATATCTTAGTTACATTATGACATTTAACATTTACCCTACCTTGTACCAAACTGAGCGAACACCTTGCATTGTATCGATATATGGCTGTAAAACGCCTTTTTCGGCATAATTTGTGATTGACATTTCATGACAAAAATAAAGTACATTTGTTTTCTGTGGATGGAATCTTGAGAGTGATTTAATTTCGGGTCTACAATACATTTGTGAGGTTCGATTCACAGGTTGTTTGTCATTCAAGAGCTTACTCTGGACGTTACTGTATGATTTCCGTTATAGACGTTGACTTCTGACGGGCAAACTTACAACACTGGGTTTTCACAGTTTCAGAATCATGTAGACTATTGACAAGGTTTTTGGCCGCTATTATCATCTCGCTGGAAAAAATGCATTTTCTTTTTCTGATACGGAGGTCGATGTTTTTGTTTGTAATTGTTAGTACTAGTCTTGGTGTTCTCTTATCATCACTCCGGTTTTCCACATGAGAACGTGATGTTACGTGAGTTCGACTTGAACATGGCTGGTGTCGTCGATGAAGCAGAAGACGCTTTCCCTTTCGGAACACCTGGTCTTATTGTTTTTATACTTTTTCAAGTGTCTCCAAACCCTTTAGTATAATCTTTCTTTGTTCATATTTTCCACCACTTTTCTTTATACTGAGTTCGAATGAGGTAATTTTAACACTTCTTTTAAGTTCTGTAAAAAAAATGTTTCTCTTCATCCATTATTGCTTTGAAAATCGTGAAGTGTGTTTTTCATACTTTTTTTATCAAATTTTCTCTGAACAGAAATATTCTGCTCTTATTGACACGAATGAATCACTCGATTTCTGAAATATATTTTTTTCTCCTGAAAATAAGATATAGGATAATCAAAAATAAAATAAATTCCAGCTGGATTTAAATTATCACATGTTTCACTCTAACGGTCGGTCCATGAGGGGGTGGATATGAAACCTCACCCGACGATCACAGATAATCAATTGAATTATGTCCTCTCAATATACAGGTAAGTCAAGCTGTTTAACGTACTTGGTTTAAAACATCGAGATATGTATACGCCCCCAGCAAGTGGTGACACTATCCTATCAAATGGAAACAATCTTAAAATCAAATTATATCCCGAAAGGTTTTATTTACCTTGATACTTTTAACTGTTATCCACATTTGACTGGTGAACAATATACCGACCCGAATATCGCTCTCTCTGTCGTCCCCACTTTACAGGACTATACAGTGAAGGCAGTCGGGTATTTAACTTTCGGTGGCGTGGGCTATCACTCGTTTAAGCCACTAAGACAAGCTGAGAAACACTTAAGATTAAAAAAGGATTTGTTATAGATTGTCATTTGTTCATGACCTGTTTTTCAATGTTTACTGTACACATACATGTAGCGATCAAAATGAATGACTATAATGAAGTGGGTAAGTTCTAAGTATCATTGTTTTATAGTCAAGAGTGGTAATCTGTTTGTAAAAGCTTTCCTGATCTACTGTGTTTACCTACACCGTAATGGTTTTCTTTACTAGCTGATCATACTAAGCCCTAATACAAGAGTGGATTACGGTCATAATGAAGCTTTAGGGGAATTTGACAGAGATGGTTTATGTTTGACATCTGAAAAGAACAGGGAGTCCTTGTACAGGCTGATAATATCTGTACGTATGGATAGAAACAGCTTGACTTTTTTCTTACAAATTTCGATATTTTTCTCTTGTTCATAACTTCTTTTTTGTTTCCTAGTGTCTTCCTTAGCAAAACCTCACGTTTTACATTATTGTTGAACGTTCCCCAAAGTGGGGAAGACAGTGACATCTGTTCCCATGCTGCGACATACCAAAGTCCCTATACTTGTAGTTGTAATTCCTTTCGTTCCTTTAACGATTAGGCAGCATTTCTGGAAATGGCAACAACTGGTTCACCCGTTGACCGGGCGGAATGCTGTTCTGGGTGTCTTTTGGTATGGTATTTCGGTGAGGTAGCACTACAAAGTCGGCAGCAGATCCACGCTGTCAGGGGCAAAAATACACCACATGTACGACATACTTAGAGGCACGTCCTTAATTGACCTTAACTGTTGACAGAAACTTGAAACCTCGTACAACCAGCCTACCCACTTTCGATCCATGCACAATAGTTATGTAATTACAAGGTACAAGTCTTGGTAATGTGGTTACATGTATATGCATTCAATGTCAAAATCTCCGTTCACGCTACTTAAGTAAATACACCTACATTTAAACCCATTGATTAATTCACTTGATGTTCAAATGTCAAGAGTATTGATTTCACGTAATGTAAGAAACATATTATAAATAATATGTCTTTCCAAGACTGGAATTGCAGTAATCTGTGTTTGTGTTAACGGAACAAACATAACTACCTGTTTGCTGTTGCTATATTGATAGTTTACCGTACTAAAGAGATGACAGAATAAATTGTAAATTATGGACCGTTATGATATACCGGAAGTAACAATGACGTGTAACATATTGACCCTGTACAATTATCGAATTTCGTAGTTCCGTTTTCTAAAAGATGTATATTAAAAAGCCATTTCAAACATCTGTTAAAGTGGGTCGTGTATCTGCCGAAGTTGTATATATATTCAGTAAGATTATATATCTCTATGATCTACGACCATTGGCCTCGTTCTCGAGGGAAATACAAAAGCACACACAGATTTGTTCCCATTTTTTGTGTGTTTTTGAACAAAGAATATTCTAAAATCCGAATCATCTTGTTCATTACCTTTTTTTTATATAGTGCGGCCATGTATCGCTTTTATTAACTAATGTTCGTTTTGTCTTTTTTGAATTATCTATCACAATATCCTAAATGCAATCGACATTCGGTTTTCCATACACATGTAGTCTCGTGCAACCAGATGCTTGCTTACTGCTGAAATCAAGACGTAGTTTTCGCAGCGAAAAAGAGTCTGATTGAATGAGACCGCATAAGTGGTAATACAGGAATGTTGATGTTTCATCGTCTATACCATGATCCTGTTCAGTAGCCCGTACTTATTGTTTTTTTCTTCCTATTGTAGTATCCTCTTCTTAATATTGGTCGCTGGAAACGTCATTGATAGTGTCTTGTATTTCTCTGTCCCTTTATCGTGTCCAGTATTAACTGCTTTAACCATTTACAGAGTGTAGTGAGTTATCTCCCCATATCCGGTCATTTTGTGTTTTTTACCACTTTGTATTCGTTTACACTTTTACCCTGGTCCCCTATGTCATGCTTACTAACCAAGTTTTCTGCCCCTTGGCCTACCATTGGATATTCTCATACTATTAATTGTCCGTGAACTGTTAAGATTTCTTACCAACTGTTTCCTTCAACGTGATATTGATCTTTGTTTGAAAAAAAAAAAGATTTTTTTAAACAGAAAATACAAAAAGAGACTAAAAGTAATACATGTAAATAAATAAAAACGATTTTAAAAGGCCAAAATGGAAATTTCTCACAAATTTGTTGTTATAAATTATATGGAAAATACATAATTTTGATTATCAGTTTTAAACTTATTCTTAACACAACAAGAAATGAATCTTCCAGTATATCATCACTTGTCTAACCACAGCCATTAAACCGGATATTAGACCGTGTATTGCAAAAGTACATTATTTGTGCTGTGGTTCAGCTATTAGTTTCACTGATCTATAATTACCACTATGGCCCACTTTTGTATACACATACACAATAGGTCGCAATTATTATCGACTAGACTGTTTCCGGTGACTGGATGACCCGTATGTCAATACTAGTCTGTCTACTTCCGGTTTGGCACTAATAACAAATAAAACGCGGCTTTATTTATAGAACTGGCCTTTATCATTAAGATTTTCAAAAGTTATCGTGAGTTGAAGATTTGTTCGGCCTGTACATGATCTGAACTCAGTTTCTATTTATACCTTTTATTCATAAACCAAACTATTGAATTTGATTGGAGGCGATTTGCAAGAACCCATAATGTTAAAACCGATACTGGTTGTCATTGAACATCTGGTCACATTTGAAATACTAAATTCGAATACATGTATACAGTATCCCTTTCATTGTTGGAAGCAATGAAAAAATGAAATACTCAATTTTATTCTGAATAAAAGGCCTCAGCAGTTACATTTCACCAATCAATCAACGGTATTACGACAAAGTAAATCTATTTTAAAGATTAAGTGTTAAATTATAGAAGCTCTGAGCACTCGGACACATTT